TCGAGTTACTATTGTGGCACCCCCCCCCCCTCCCACACCCCCGGTCGCGACGCCCCTGTAGTGATCACATATGCAAATGCGAAAAAGTTAAAACGCAAATTTTTCTATTTGATGAAATGAGAGTCTGAAATTCTGAAACAAGAACTAGGCTACTTTTATCTGAGTAAGGGACAGATAAAAGAATTTAGGGGGCTCCAATTTTTCCACAGACTAAAATGCAGACTACAACCCTGAACGAAATATATTGGAACTCCAGCTATTTTCACAAATTTTTCCAATACCGCCGTCCCCTCTCCCCCAGTACAATGTTGCAAGTCGTAAACCAATGTGTCTTCCATACGCAACATTGCTGAAAGGGAGAGGGGGTGAAAATTTGAAGGAAAATGTAAAAATCTAAACCAGTATCGATTTTCTAAGTGAGTTCAAACTTTTGTCCAAGATTGTCTGAATGCTCTAAAAAGCATATGACTTGTGATTTTCAAAATACTTATTTTTACGCATTAATCTGATTCAGAATGTCAATGTCAAGTTAAGTAACACATTTATACCCGTTATTAAGGCCGCGTTTACACGATACCGGATTGCTTTTTATATCGGATTGGTCTCAGCTATCCGATATGAAAAGCATACCGTTTAGACTGCGTTTACACGATACCGGATTGATAATCATACCGTTTTCATCCTGTTTACACGACAACGCTTCGCTATTCACTGTGCAGGATACTTCTTTTGTTTCGATTTTTAGCAATGTAAAATTCTGGTGATTTCGTTAGTCTACTGAGAAGAGGAAGGTCTCGCGAAAAAATAATCACTTTAGTATAGAATGTGAGTGCTGTCCAGTGGCATAGAAGAAGAAAATGTAAGCAGAAGGGGGAGGCAGAAGTCGAATTGCAGCCTGAATCGGTAAAGGCATATGCCAGTGAATGCCTTTTCGAGGGAAGGGGTTGAAAAGATGTGATATCGAATGATGACAATATGAAATAGTTTTTGGCGAACGTTACCCGAAGGGTAAAGATGTAGAATCCGTTGATGAGAACTTTCCTTGAGATTCAGAACGAGGTTCCGGAGTGAAAGCGTATCGGATTCACCCGTTTGGACGAGATGGAATGTGGTACGGGACGTATCGAATCATTTTTCATACCACTTTCACAGCGGAGTGATGTCACGCCGCAAAAGTGGTACGGGACGTATCGGATTAATGCGGGGCCGTGTAAACGGGACCCCTATCCGATATGAAAAGTAATCCGATACGTGTAAACGCAGCCTTAGATATTCCAAAATATTTTGAAATCCATAATGGCGGATACCCAGGCAATCAGAGGCAAGCTATGTTATTTGTTTTGAAATGAAGTTAACGGTCGTTTGAAAATTGCGAAAAGTGACGATAACGGTTCGATATCAAAATATAAGAAAATCCCTTTCGATGTTTCCATGCACCTGCGGTGTTTACATCAAGACAAGGGTGAAACTTTGCCCCAGCTTATGCAGAGGTATCCACATTATTCAAGAACAATTATTTATAGCCACAGCCGTCTATACCCATCGGAGATAAAATAGTCGCTAGAAGACACTCAGATAAGGGACATCCTGCCACAGAATAGGAATTAGGCAGAAGGGGAACTTCTGCCTATCGGGTGAAGCCTGAAAAAACTAGCGCATGCGTTAACTTCTACCAGGCTTAGCATGTATCTGTCCGGGAAATTTTAAAAAAGAATGATAGTAGACAACTTTATTTGAGACGAAATGCCCCATGATAGAAAACAAATTCAGTTATGTATCATAATTCGTTTATATCTGATTAATGAATGATAATTTGTCATGGCTAAGTTCTTCTAATGAAAACAAGGTGACTTAAGGGGACTTAAGGAATTCTATTGTTGACTCAGGCTTCAAAAACAACAAAGGAACCGACGAGAGTTACCCTTCTGCCTATTTCCTATTCTGTGGTCCTGCCAAGCTCACTCCTCGAGATGTTAGGAAATTCTCACGTAGTCTTAAGAAATTGAGAGAAACCTTTGGAAATTTTACCTCTAAAGATGTTCAAAGGGATGTTGACATTAAAGAACAGGAAATAAGTAATAGAACTGTGCGTCGAGCTTTACGAAATGAAGGATACTCTCACACACAGTGCAGGAAAAAGGGGCAACTGGTACAGGAAGACCTTAAAAAAAGATTGCAGTTTGCTCGGAAATGTAAAAAGTTGCCTGAAAGTTTTTGGAAGGAGGGAGTGCCATTTTATTTTGATGAAACCGGTTGGGTGCACAAGACATACCCCTGTCAAACAGTAAGAACGGCTCGAACATGAACATGGAAGAAACGTTCTGAGAGTCTGAGCCTTCATTGCACGACAAGGGGCAAAAAGGAAGGATCAGGAAGTAGAATGGCCAGGTTCATGGTAGCAATTGCAGATGGAAGAGGTGTAATATCATGCATTCAGTACAATTCACCTATAAATGGCGAATTCTGTTATGAATCCTACCCATCTCTTTGGCCCTGTTAGTTATATTGCCACATAATAATGCTGCCTACCATCTTGATGCCTTTCAAAACAACACGCCCAGTGCTGAGTTTTTACTTTACCAGATCTTCTGTCAAATGCTTCAGCTATTGCTTTGCCAAAGGATTCTCTTGTTGGAAAAATCTCCAAATTTGCCTGACTATAAGTCACCAGATATGTTCCTCGAACAACTCTTGATGGTAAATTTTGCTTTTAAAAATCGCCAGCTATTATTCTAATATTATATTGGAACTCCAGCTATTTTCACAAATTTACCTAATACCGCCGCCCCCTCGCCCCGAGTACAATGTTGCAAGTTGTAAATCAATGTGTCTTCCGTACGCAACATTGCTGAAGGGGAGAGGGGGTGAAAATTTGGAAGAAAACGTAAAAGTCTAAACCGGTATCGATTTTTGAAGTGAGTTCAAAAAATTTGTCCAAGATTATGGCTTTTGACCCCGTTTACACTGTGCCGGATAAATTTTATCCGCATCAAAATTAGTTCAGATAGGCGTCGCGTTTACACTAGACCCACGCTATCCGCACGAATTTAAGATTGGCTATCGGAACAAAATTAGTTCACCTAGGAAAGTAGATTAAATTAGTTCGGATAGCTATGTGGTACAGTGTAAACGCTTTTATCCGGATAAATTTTATCCACATCGTATCTTGCTCGAAAGCGATTGGCTGTTTCATCCAATTTAGTTTTCACTGTCTCCCAATCAAGACCTTTCGCCATCTTGGCTGCCTTGTTATCGATAAATACTCGTGTTAAAAGTGCAGTATCTTGCCAGTCCACGTAAAATTGGCATCCTCGGCAAATTGGCAAATCGGCAGGGCCGTCGCAAGGCAAGCCTTGTTGGGGGGGGGCGGTCTACAAATTTACCTGATTAACAAATTATTGCCTGAAATTCTTTACCTGCTGTCACAAGCCTCTGCAATACATTTTGTCAATCTAACTCTGTATATAATTCGCAACTTTTATTTTTATATTATAATAACGGACTTTTCTAATAGTTTTGTCCAATCTGCATATCGGGACGGGCAAAGGAGATAGTTACTACCTCACCCGAGGCAGCGCCATGGTTGCCGCCGAAGGAGCAGAAAATTTTCGAATTTTGATGCTTCCAGTTCCCTGGAAAATGCACTCTTTTAAGCATATTTCACTAAAGCAATCTTCCTAATCCTATTGAAAATTTTTTTTGCAAACAAATTGAATAGCAGATAAAAACAACTGGTACAATTTTGCCCTGGTCTTGAAAAATACCACGTTGTCAGTTACTTCTAAAGCTAGGTAAGAAGCAGCACTGGTTGTCGATTTAAATCCCTCTTTCCATCTTAGCATGCCTTTTGAATGTTAAAAAAAATCTGGAGCTCATAGTGAATTGCAGTTGACGCATCTACCGAGAAACTTTAGGGGAAATGGACACAGGGCACAATTTTTCCTAAAGAGGGCCTGGATTTTTAGATTCAGTGCCAACAAAGAATCTTCAAATCTTCAAATCATTAGTTTGTTTACTTTCATTCATATCAAGGAATATCATATTTAACTAACGGGGCAACTACCTTTGCTTGATCCTTTATTATTTTATGACAGAAAGGTCTCTGAACTACCTAAACCGTTTTTTCCACTGAGTGGATTTTATCTGAAATTTCCTACTGAGATACTGTTGGGAGGGGTGTGACACCCCCCACACCCCCCTGGTCGCGACGCCCCTGCTTGTCGGCTTTCTCTACTTTCGTTGCTAGTTCAGTGTCATTTTGTTTCAAGAACAAACTATTGAAACAAACCAGGCCTAATTTGTATTGACAATATCTTTGGATTTGGTCTAAAAGAGAAGCAGATGATCCTGAAGAGAGAATGAAGTCTTTTTACGTTGGCGGGAATTTTGTTATTATTCTGTTGCCCAGAAAAGACTTCATGTTGGGGGTTCTGCGAATGACTTAGGTCATGTGACTGCAATTATCCGAAACGGGAGGGCAAAGTGGACAAAATTTGTGCGGCACAGTGTAAATGCAAATCAATCCGAACAACTTTTATGCGGATACAGTGGCGTACCCAGAGCTGCAGAAGTGGGGGGGTCTGGGGCAAAGCCCCCAGGAATTTTTTTTGGACCACGCCCTTCAAACACTCGTAAATGCGGGGAAACGCCCTTTTTGCAAAATTTTTCCCCCTTATTTGATTCTTGTTAGCTATGGCAAAAAGCAAAGCATTTTACAATTGTTATTGACACAAGCATACAGTATACTACCCCCTCCAAAAAAAATCTTTTTTGCACAAATCTCGAGGACCTTATTTTAGAAAAGTAGGGGGTCCGGACCCCCCATTCCCCCCCCCCCCTTGGGTACGCCACTGTGCGGATAAATTTTATCCGGCACAGTGCAAACGGGGTCTTCATTCAACTCATCAGAAGACTTTCTACAGGAGGGTAAGCATTTGCAATTCAATTCAAGAGTCTGCAGGTGGGCTACTTTAACCGTACTTTGGAGTACCACCCTAATTTCAATGCTACCACCTTTACCTAACATGAAGCTTCTGGAAATTGTGCACGATTTGCACGTTGGTAAAAGTCGAAGCGGTAAAAATCCTAAAATCACGTTTTAGGCCAGGGATAGAAAGTAAACCTTGGAACTGACATATTACCAAGGTATTGGAGTTAATATCCTAGATAATTAAAGTCTGTTTTTTAATACGATGGCCTTAGAGAGCACAGACGAAAAGTCCCAGAACGTTCCTTTATTCAGAAACCTTACTGCTGATGATGAAGATCAAGAAGCCAGCGTAATCCAAAGCATGTGTACAAGTTGCGAGAGAGAGGTAATACATGTCATATTTATATCAATGTCTTGTTTGATTATTTATCACGACCAAGAAATACTAATCTGTATCAATAGACCAGAGGGTGGAAGGGGAGCACCACCACCCGAACGGAGAATTTATGAGACCAATCTATTCTGGTTCAGTTTTTTGCGTAGATTTCGAATTTGGGTGTTGATCAACGGTTTAAGGGGGCTTTCCCGAGATATGGGGGGTCTAAAGACAAAGTTTGGGGTTAATTGCTACAAATTTGGTTTCCTCAATAAATTTCAATAAGATAAAGATAGATATGTTCTTTGACTATATCTATGATTGTTGGCTGATATTTGAAAGCGTTTTTCTATATTTAGAATTTAAGGGAGGTGTAAAAAATTAAGTTTTTTCCAAAAGATACATTACTGTTACAATATATTTGAATACTATCAAGTCTACCCAAAAAATTATTCATCTTCATCCTTATCCTCAGACATATCAATGCCTCTTCTTAAGTCTTCCACTTCTACAAGATCGTCAGCCTCCACTAGTAGTTTCGAACATCCTCTGGATTTTGCGAAAGAAATTCATTAAATAGAATTAGAAAAGTCACCTTTCCACACGTGGTGTACTTGAGCCTTCTTGCTCTATCATTGGTTAAGAGGCTTGTCTGCACATATGTGCAATGTAATTTGCAACGCTTGATGTATCTTGAAAGGCTGTTTTTGCATGGTGGCTGCAAAAAGAAGTCTGTGATCTTTGACCCCTTGAAAAATTTTTCCAAAAATTTTTCCGTTGAATATCATGAACAGACGATAATCTCTTTTCTCCAAACAACGCACACGTAAACCTTTCAATACCCCCAATTACATAGTTTATAGGATTACTTGATGCCCCTAGCTTTGCGAAAGTTGTGACGAATGCTTTTGTGCCTTGCATAAGCTTCCAACTTTTTCTGAAAAATACCTACCTACCTACCTCCCTTTCTACCTTCCTCCCTATCTACTTACCTACCTACCTCCCTATCTCCCTTTCTACCTACCTACTTACCTAGCCACATACCCACCTATCTATCCATCTACCTACCTGCGTTCCCGGAAATCGAGCAGCCCCACTTCATGTACACACTCTTCGTACATGAAAATAACGAAATATAGTCATTTCCACTAAATGCATGCAAGCCAAGCGGGGCTTCTTTTTGATAGGCCGATAATTCACAAGCAGCTAGAGCGAAGATTTTTCTATTTTTACCTGTCCCACTATCAATAAATATTTAGAAATGAGGTTCCTGCCTAGCAAGCAAGATAACAAGGATGTTAATATATTATATATCTCCAAAACAAGAACGCAAATCGTTTCTCGACCTTCGTTTTGTTGGAGAGCATGATGTAGAAGGAAGCAAACTTAAGCTAGTGATATTTATGCAGCGATATCTATATATATTTTTTTCTTTGCGAGAAAAATTGATCACTCTGTTCCCTAAATGACAGCCTTGTTGAACCCAGACTTCTTTAACCAACTCAAACAACCGCTCTTTATTCTGTCTTTTCCTCAGAAACGCAACAAAGTTAGGAGGAATCTTTATGTTTGGCGATTTGATGAAGAAATGGTTCTCTGCATTCTTGATGAACCAATCGGCATGTTCGAATGCAATATATACACAGTTGTATTGTGTCCGTAATTCATTCAGCAACTTCGTTGCAAGCCTCCTGAAAGTGTCCGGTATTCTAACTGAGATTGAATGGTGGCAACCAAATCAACAACAAAGCAAATTGCCTATCTCCTCTTTTCTGTTCTTCATAAGGCTGGTAACTGTGGTATTTATATGTGCCTCATACTTCTAAGTACCTGAGCTTCACGAGACAGCGAGGAAGGGGATACTATCACCGAACTCGGCTTCTAACCCCTTTTTAACTTAGTCTGCTGTTCTCGTTAATGAAACAATACATTCCAGTTAAAGTCTTCATAGCAACGGATCGGTTCATGATTTGTTATATATGAACACACAGGAAAGAGTCAGCTTACACTGTTCTTCGCTTGTTTCAAGTACTTCATTAGTGGGATCGTGGACAGCTGTAGAAGTAAGGGTAGTCGACTTCTTACTACAAAATACTGTGTACTTATTATACCAGGAAAGCTTTACCCTTTCTTAATGCTGGAGCTTTTTGCAGAGTTCGGCATGATGAAAGTTTACATAAGTTTCAATAGTGGTTTCTTCCCCTTATTAACATTGATAGGCCCTTGTTATTAGGCGCTTGCTTTCGTCACTGTTTTCTTTTTTAAGGAGATGCCTTTTTGCTTACTTTCTTCCCCTTTTGCGTTTTGTTTGCAAAGACAGATACGGCCTTCGTAAAGTTCAGGTAAAGCTGGCGATATCGTTGAAGGGCAAAGGATCTGATCTTCAATGACTAAATGAGTGCAATGAACAGCTCATCTTCTTTTTCTGTTTGCCATATATTCTAACTACTTTCATAGTTTACTCTTGCTTTAATCACAGAACATTGAAAATGATAATGAATTTGTAAGCAATGAAATTGCAGTTTTTAGGTCATTTGAAAGAAAATCCAAACCTATACACTTTTACACTCTCAATGGTCTTCAATGTTAACAGGTAATTATCGTTTAAGGCTGTGAAGTACATACAAGTTACATTCCTAGGTTATGACACAAAACCATGTGTTAAAGTACTTCTCATAAAGATTTGCTTTTGGGCCTCATTTCCATTCTGATCCATAGCAATAAAGCTGTAGTTATATGAAAATCTCCATATCAGTCATTACACATGTCTGAGAAAGCCACATTCCTGGTGAGTACAAGCAGCCATTTCCCTATGTGATCATGCTACAGTACTCCATTCAGTTGCGAAAAATCAGTTTTTCGTGGAATTTACAGTATTTTGTACTCATGTTTCATTTTCTATGGCCCCCTCACTTCCAAATGGGAGTCAACAAGCATAGATATCAACAAAAAACTGACCTGTCTATATTTTATTGACATTTATATTAGCCCTAAAATCAGACTTTAGACCCCCTATATCTATGAAAAGCCCCCTAAAACGAGGGATCAACACCCAAATTCGGAATCTACACGAAAAACTGATCCAGAATAGATTGGTCTCATAAATTCTCCGCTCGGGTGGTGGTGGTCCCTTTCCACCCTCTGGTCTACAATGGCATCCGAACCGAATTACATATATATTGCTCATGAGGCTCAATTTGATATTGCGTCTGACATGATCAACACACAATGAAAAAGTACCCCGAAGATATGATGATTCTTGAAGCCCTCATGATTTCTGTACACATAAAAAAAAGAAAAAGCCACTTAAAATACAAGCATGATCAAATTTTACACTTCGCTAGAATAACAATGACATTTTCGTACAAAATTCTGCTCATTCGAATCTCCATTGATTTCAATCAAATTTCACCGTGCGCAAGATTCTTAGGACAAAATGATATCTCAGGGTTGTCTTTTACGATTTTTTATGAGCAGGGATTTTTTATGAGCAGGAAAAGAAATTCAGTTATAGTTATATTGGAGGGGAAATCAAGCTTTTAAAAAATGCACGGGAAAGATTAGGTGTGCAAATTACATGAAGACAAAGATCAATCAGAAAGTTGAAACTCATAATTAAAGCTTACCAGTAAAGAATGTAACTGCAAGTTAATTTTGCTGCTACCATATTCCGGTTGCTGTGAGAATGCAATATTGCAAGGGGCCTATTATGAAAATCATGCAATTCTATTGTCTTATGTTTACCTGAAATAATTCCGCATGACCAAAAGTAGGAACTACTTTAACTATATGTCAAGCGAATCTTTTGATTCTCGAACACTTTTCTCTCCAAATTTTACTTTTTACGCATGTCTTGTGCCCATATTTTTCAGATGAACTCTGCAAAAAAGCGTCAGATGGCCTATAAATCTGAAGTTACCTTCTATGTGCTTTCTCTTCCTTCCACCCTTTTATATTCTACCATGTTAGTAACTTTTACCCTGTTTTCAAAGTGTTCACAACAGCGCTAAAGACATGTGTCTTATGCTAAGGGATAATAACCTTATACCCTTGAGTTTCCAAAGTTGGATGTGTTCATCTTCTTAAGTCAAAAACTTATGGTCAATCATGCATGAAAAACTTATAAAAACTGATCAGTTTTTATCAGTTTTTCATGAATATACAGTCTATTTTTGGCTGAAAACTTTCAGTTAAAAACTTTTTAAAACCAGGCCTTTTTGTTTCATGCAGGTTAATTGCAACACCTGTGCCAAAGTAATAGGGCAGGCTATTGACCACCCTGATAAAAAAATAGTACCTCTTCTGCAAAGGACAGTAGGAGTATTTATAGGAACAAGTTAGTTCCTATAAATTGTAGTATTCCTTAATGAAAGGTGAAGTTGCTAATGAAAATAAAGCATTTTTGTCTCATTATTCATGAAACTCATCTTGTATCAAACAGCTCGTCTACAAATTGGTGGTGAATACCTCCTTAGGTCCTTGGGTAATCCTTAAACAATAATTGTTGAATGGGCAGTGTCCCTCTAAGCTTAAACAGATTGGCACTTTGTCACCCTTGTGAACAATCCCTAACAAAAAGGCCTGTTAAATCTGATTGTGTATTTCAGGCTTTTGTTTTTTGGCAATGGTGCAAGCTAGTGTATACCTTGAAGTCAGTTCATACATAATTTCATTGGCATGGCTTCATATTTGAAAATACTGACCAACTTTTTCTTTATTTGTTGTGTATTCCCTAGATTCACTGCTTAATTGTACTTTGAGGATTCAAAATTAAGAAAAGTGCTTACAAAACGTAATTTTAACAACAATTAGTTTTAAAGGGCAACTACCTTACATTACTTGATGTCCTACTGTCAAATAGTTGCATAGATCTATGGCACACTCTTGCTAAAAAATCCTGTGTGACAGAGAAAGTGGGGAGCTCTTCCTGTTGCCTGCTATCCACAATCAAGCACAACAGAGCTTGGGGAGGATTGGGCCAGGGGGACGTCCACTCCAAATTTTGCAAAAATGAGAGAAGAAACAACAATATGATAATATTTGCCTTTGTCATCATAGCTAGCAACATAGCACTTTACTTATTTGAATTAGAACTTGAAAATTTTTTTATATTTTAGGGTACAACAAGACTGCTTTTTACAAAGATACCTTTCTTTAAAGAAATTATTCTAATTTCATTTGAATGCCCCCATTGTGGTAACAAGAATAATGAGATCCAATCAGCTGGACCAATTCAAGATAAAGGCAGTCGAATTACAACAAAAATCACAGGCCTAAAGGTGTGTTTTTATTATCAGAGGTATTTCTAAACATTCTTTAATTTTACAGAGAAATAAAAAGCTCCTTATTCATTATAAATCATGTTTTTTATAATCAATTAGAAGACAATTATATTGAACAATATGCTGCAGAAAAGTGTGTATTAAACAAACATGAAAATCTTTAGCTACTTCAATCTTCCCCGTCTCATTTCCCCCTGTATTTTATCCTGACCACGACCCTCTGCTACCTATTCATTTGATAACTTATGTGCCTGACTTGTAAAAATAATTTGATTCTTTGCCTTAACTGGCAGCTGTATTTTAGTGGCAAGCCTGTCTCGGTATTTATCTTATCATCAATTGAAGCGTGTGGAGACTTTATTTTATCTTTCTTAACTTGGATTTCAAACAACCTGTAGTGATCAATTCATAAAGAATTTATGTTTCTTACACATTCTTGAAACAGAGAGCAAGTGTTTGGAAACTTCCTCAAAAGCTAAGCGCTTTCCCCTTTCAATCTAGAAGATTTTGTGCTTTTTTCACTTAAAAAGCTGTTAAATGCCAATGAAAATAGGGAAGGCATTTAACATTTAGAGAAAAAGCTCTGAAAAGTATCTGTGCTGAGAGGTTGCATTTTCAGAACTTTAGTAATTGCTCTATGGATGTGGTCCTAGGAGACTCAGTTCTGTAATCAATTCTGCGTTTGGAAAGGTACCCTTAATGGAAAGGTCCTTTTCAAGGTGTTTCAAGGGCATAGTTTGCCTTAAAATGTTGCAGCCTTTTTGCAGGGTGTTTTTGAAAGTAGAAATGAAAACAGAGCTCAAAATAAAATGTTCGGGGAACAATGTTTTGGCAGTAATTAAGGGTATCATGGCAACATTGATAAAAGAGGAATTTCCAAGAAGATGGTACCATGGAATGTTTTAATAGTAGCTGCACCATCTACTAGGATTCTTGGCTAGATTGTTAGAGGAATGATAGAGAATTATGAGTAACATCATAGAATTGTGCCAGGATATCATATCAAATCAAATTCGTAGCATTACTCAAGGATATTTTAGAAACAATTTTCTCTTATCTCTAACCATGCCAATAATCTAGGAACATGATTCAAAATTATTTGAATAAAGTTTCTGGATGCAGCAGCATTGTCAAGCATTTTGTTTTATTTTCCGCAAAAGTCGATCATTTCCATTTTCTACTCCATGTGAAAAATATGGATATTCTTCATATCAAACTCGGGGGGAGGGGGGGGGGAATGGAAAAGCAAAATTTTTGTTTAGGTAGCAGGGGAATGAACATGAGCATGGGGACTTTCTTCTCACCTTTAGTAAACGATCCCCAGAAATTTTTTTGCAAGAAAACGGGAATCTTATCTTTGTGCCGAATGGATTGGAGATAACGTCAGTCAGTCACTTATGATGAAAGATTCAAGACATGGTCTGGCTGCAGGCTTCCCCATTCATTACGGAGATCCAAAATTAGGCATTGTTTTATTATCGTCGGTGAAACCAACAGCGGTGTTATGTGCGAGGGGAAGCTAGGGTGTGATGGATCCTTGACGCATTTACACTCAAGTCATCATGATGTTTACGCACGCACAGTAGGTCAGGCTTTGCCTGTCAAGTCAAACTAAGCTCACAGTTGAAATATTGCTCAAGACAATAGGCACAGTGACGTCACTACCATAAGCTGACAACAGGAGACGAAGGTGAGAAGTATTGTCATCGGGTGCTTTTTAAAGATATTTATTGTCTGCGAAGGACCTATGTACGACACACACCGAAGAGAAAGCAGTTGCATGCAAGTATTTTCTGAGCACACAAGATGAAGTTTTTCGTGTTTACCGTTGTCTCCGTGATGGCGATCCATGGCATGCCAGCTCCAAGGGTATTAAATGACAACCACTGGCCCACAGAGAATCAGCACGGTGAGTTGTTTAAAGCATAATTAAACCCACCTTACTTGAACTGTATACTATTAATTTTCTCAGCGATGACCTTATCAAGAATCGGAATAATTCTTAGATTTATATGCAAATTTCTATTTAATGAAAATTACTATTTACCAGTGTGGCACGGTTCTAAGCCCACTTCGGGGCATTGAATCCAGAACATGGAACACATTTCCATCGCCATTGTTATCGATGAAAATTTCTATTTATGTATAAGCGGCCCGTTTGAAAAACAAGCATCTCAGTTGTCAATTCACTCCCACCTCAAAACTGGCAATTTTCCAACCCACCTCGAGGCAATGAATCAAGAGCATGAAACACATTGCCATTGTTATCGATGTATGTTTTAAACGATGCATAAACATAACTGCTACGTTGAATAGTAATTCCTTGTTCATTATTGGTTATTTGAAGTGACTCTGATCCTTCAATACATGCTTGTGTCTCATGAATGAAAGAAAACGAGGGGCGAAGCACTCCATTTTAAATTCGCAAATATTTGGTGGAAATCCGATTGTTTTATTTCAAAATCTCACACGTTATTTGAAGTTAGAAGTTGTGAGTTGTGCCTTGTAAAGGCACTCCAAGACACTGCAGTCATTTGCTGTGGCCAAGTCAAATTCACAAAAATGAGCACTTTTCATAGCAAGCAAAAGTTTCTTTCCTTCCGAGGCTCGACTTTCCTGACTGTCTGAAGAATTGAGGCTCTGGTGCTCTTAAGATTATAACGTGCCCTTATTCCATACAACTTCATTTGCATACTATAGATGGTTTCGAAGACCCCTTAATAACAGCTTGGCAAGACATTTTTAGTAGCACTGTTGATAAGCTGATAAAATCCGCTCGGTTTTGTTATCATCATCATGGGAGTAAATTATAAAACACGCATTGCTTTTCTTCTTTTAATTTTCATCTAAGGCCGAGTATGAGGCTGGGTATGTTCTTATGTTGTTTATACTTTTGGTAAAATCAAAAATCAAGCCTTGTTATTGGTAGAATAGATTTTCTTGCAAATAAGGTTGTTTCGTAAGCTGCTATCTTAGGCGTTTTTTTAGCTTTTCGTTTCATTCTATTTCTAGTCAACGAATACCTTTGAATGTGACGCTTTTCATGCTG